GTATCGTTCACGCGACTCCCCTTCTGCGCTGCCCCACCTTCCGAGCCTTGTAGCCGAACGCTTGCTGTTCTGCTCTTGTCGTGTACCCTTCCTTGTCTGTCTGCTATTATACCTTATGTTATGTCATGATGTTATTGCATGTTCATGCCGTGTTTGTATAGTAGAGAATTTAATGCTGCGTGTTTTGTCTTTCTGCGTCAGCGGACCTTCGTGGCTTAGCGCTTCATAGCCATCATGTGCTGTTGAGCGTTGTCCACATATATGCTGAAATGTGTCAAGTCGGAGCGCGGACTATTACGTCCTTGGGTGGTTTGCCGGGCTGTATCAAGACGCCGATCCATGCGTCAAATGAGGTTTGCGCCCTGTCGCTTCGGGTGGTCGACACGACGAGTTTGCGGACTGGTGGTGTGATCGAGTGGACTTGAGAAGCTTGCGGTACCCAAGGGCTTCATCCACCAAAGGCCCATTGTGTACAAGCCTCCGATCACTCTCTGTGCATGTGAGCTGTCAAATGGGATACATTCTCTTCGTCCCGGGCACTGCAGACGTCCCGCCGGACCAAGAGCTACCCCGAGCTATCTATCGTACATACAGTATACCGTCAACGCAAGGCATCCGAGTGAGGAACTCGAACCGTAAATCCGGAGTACTGAGTCTTGTTCAGCATGAAGGCAGCAAAGTAGCGGACGGGACGACCTTACCAGTGTAATACAATTAGGCCTCCATCGCGTCCTCCATCTTAGACCTCTGCCGCTTCCCCGTCCTCGTCCTTGGTCACGAGGAGCTCGACACCATCGTCTTCACCGTTGCAGAGCTCCATCGAGTAGACCAAGATGCTAGACCTTGTAGTATCAGAGAGCTGCAATGAGCACCCGGCGCACACCGTGCCAGTGACAGATCTAGAGACACACAGCCTCAGGCTCACCCCACGCTCGCCGGAAGACGGACCATGCGCTCGATCCGAACCACGTCCCCGACGCTCAGCGTCCGGCCGTCCTGAAACCCTCCCCGGTGGGCCCCGAAGACCTGGTAGTCGACGGGGAGGAGGACGAACTCGGACCCGCCCGCGCCGTCGGAGAGGTCCGCGATGAGGCCCTTGCGGAAGCCGAAGAGCTCGGTCTCTGCGCAGCGCTCGAGGCTCTCGATGCGCATGACGGGGCTTTCGACGCAGATGTGGTAGTTGAGGTGGTTCTTGAAGGCGGCGGCGGCGTGCGGGGTGAGAGCGGCGGGCATGATGTCGATGTCGGATGGCTGAGGATTGAGGATTGGGCTGGGCTGACGGCTTTAGAGGCGCGGGTGTTTCGCTATGGGGGAGGCCTGGTGTCTCTTGCTGGGTTGTGTCGGACGGTACTTATCATCGGTGTTGTCTTGGTGTTAGGTCGTCTGCCGCTCAGAGAGGCTCACCGTGGTCGACTACCGCGCGGGACATGAGATGTCCAACATGCCGGACGCCCTTGTACCACATAGCTCGAGCCTGTGTCAGGTGAAGCAGCCGTGAGAGCTGCTGTAGAGGGAGGAAGGGGGAGAACATGTCAAGATGGCAATGTCCCGTCCACATCTCGTAACTGAACCCCATGGAGGTGACGCGCGAGATACACGTGATCGGGTGCGGAAGAAAGATTTGTGGTCTATTCCGACTCGTCACCGCTTCTTCAAAGGGCAAATGGTGGTGGATTTATACGAGCGCAAATGCCGCGGGGGTGAGCGTCAGGATCTTTGAAGCGAATTCTGAAGAACACCGGTGGGTCATGTTGTTCAGAGCTCTTTGGACACTTGAGCGGTGCAGAAGAGATGTACTCACTGCCTGCCTGGCAACCAGCGATTCGGAGCTTGCACGACGCTCCGGAAAAACGATCATCCCGAACGACAACCATTTGGGCGACTTCTTCACTCTCTTCATGGCAGATGGGGAGAAGGGACCTCTCTTCAGCCTGCCAATATTCTTTGCATAACGATCTCGATCCTAACCTAGTCAGAGGGTAATCAAATCTGGATAGGATGAAAGTTTTCTCACCGACACCGCCGGTAATGAGTGGCATTGGAACACGAGCCGATGACAATCTGCTCCGGTGATGAGAGCGGCTGAGCGCAAACACGCTGATGGCTCTGGCTGGATATTGTCGGTACCACCGTAGTGCGCCTGTCTGTCGTTCCATGCAGCCGCAATCTCGTCATGCGGACAGCGTCCGACGGCATTGCTGTCAGCTTAAGTCAAACTGGGATATGCCCTGGCGGCGGCGTACTGCAAGTTGTCAAGGCGTCCTTCCTGCGGCGCTTTGTGGTTGCCCAAATGAGCATGCTGCATGTGTGAGTGGTTTGATGGTTAATAGATGAAGCAGATAACGCACCTGGAACTACTTGATGGTAAAAGTCCGCATCCCTATGGGGTAATAAAGTTGTCAATAGGCGTTCGGCATTCGTGTTCCAGGGAACGTAAATAGGCTGACTTCTACGTCGGGCCGCAAACTGGAAGGAAACGGTCTAAGAAAAGCGCGTGTGTGGTTCAATGGGAGGAGTTGGAGTAAATCGTGACAAGGAAGTTCGGGCACACACCCGGCTGTGTGGGTCCAAGCGCTATCTCGAAGCGCCGCCCTGTAAGCCATCGCTCACATGGTTAGCCGGAAATTCCAACTCATGTTAAGGACAATGATCATCCACCTATCCGCCCAAGAAATACAATATTCAGAACACAATGACAATATAATACCAGCCGAGAAGAACTCAATCTTCAGCGTATTTCGTCGGAGCGCTCCAGATATCTCCTATTCGTCTCCGGTCTGCCCCCGGTCGACGATCATCGCTGCATCGGCAAGCGCGTCGAGAGTTTCAAGCGCTTTGAGTGCTGCCGGTACCAGGGCGTTCTTGCGATGCAGGTCGCGGCAGACGTCCGCGAGAGCTCGCTCGAGGATCACACGCCGCTTCCGTTCCTCCCGGAGCTTCATCTCGGTGAGGAGGCGAGCAGCACGCTCTTGTTGCAAGTCCGAATGGGCTAGGCGAGAAATGAACTCCGGATATACAGTTTACTGCCAATCATCAATTATGACTCACCGACGCTTATTGATTTGACCGGATACGTTATGCTGGTGTCTGCGGCGCAGTGGTCTGTCACAGCCGGCAGGATGCTGGAGGCATCCAGGAGCTCAAAATCGCGTATCAAGGCGATGCTAAGCAACCAATGAGGACAAAGCAGTTGTGGAAGATTCTGCAGGGCTTACCATGTGTCGGGTTGCTGCAGACGAGATATTCCCGATATCCTGGCAACCGATCCGACTTGCAGGCTGCGTCTCTCGTCTTCATTGCATACGCGCCCGTTCAGCGCTGAGGCAAGCGCAATCCAGGCATAACCGTCGCCATCTGTGATATACGCCTCGTATGCATTGGTTCGTTCACCTTCACGGAACGTCACGGCGTCACGTATGACGAGGAATCTGACCACCGGTGAAGTGGAGAACACGGATTCCTCAGAAAGATCCGCCAGTCGTACGCACGTTCTGGGTGTCAACGCAGGCTGTGCAAGCATCGCGAGGGCCCGCGACCCTGCATTGCTCGAGATAGGCAAGGATTTGGGGGTGCTCAGTAACCGTTTAGCCGTACTCGCTGAAGCCAGCGCTGAGGATGCCTGCCCGAGGAATGTCGCAGCCTGGAAGACGGGATTGTGTCAGCACCATGACTGACAAGGAACGTGCAACCGTCACCGAGAAACACGTCGCGGTAGAACATACAGGAGGGGGTGACCTCTGTCCGTAATCAAGGGTGCTCTGATAGTTATTTCGCCCTATGTGAATCGGAGGGAGAATTTGGGGTGCTCGTGGTGCATGGAAGGCAGTCGCATGAGGTGACACAATATGCGGAATCCCGGAAGAAGACGGCGGATGGGTGAGGGCAGAAGCTGATGATGGCGTTCGATTCGACGGAGACACTTCAAGTCGCTTCGAGCTGGAGGTCTTGTACTTCTGTTGCCCACTTGTAGATGCACGGAGATTGATCGTGCTGTTCCTGCACGGACGACGCTCAACCTATACTCCGTGCAGTACTATTTGAAACCTACCCTTCCGAGTAGTATATTTGCGCTCTGTACATGGCGGACCATAAGCAATGCATTAACAGGGATTATGCACTCACATATATCGTTCAGATAAGGTATCTTTGTCTGCCAAGGCCCGCACGACGTTATGTTTGATAAGCTTGCAAAATTCCTGTGGATGTCAACCACACCCGCGTCAACAGAGCTACTGAATCATGTTTTACGCGCCAATCGCGCGACCGCAAAGCGCAATAACTTACAGCATCCCGTAAGGGATAGGTAGCGCGAACTTGCCCGGTACCCCAGACGATCCTAATCTCGCGCATGGACTGTCCAGAAATGTTGAGTGAGAGCGCATCCAAGTCCCCTCGAAATTCATCGATGATGCTGCCTCCTAGAGACTTCCTCCCAGACTCCTCCGTTGTCTGCAGCATCCGAGCCCGGTCCCCCTTGTATTGTATACACACTCCCGGATAAGGGCGCATACTGGGAGGTCCGCCCGATTCATCCGCACGCGTGACCATGTTGGGTTCCCGCTTGAACGGTAGATCCTGTGTCTTCTGGGATTTCTGTACATGCGTTCATCGCATAGCTGGTCAACGAGGCGAGATATCTCTCACCAACACCAAGAGCGGGTTTGAAAGGTCCGAAACGGGACTCTTGCTTGTCAGGCTGGCAATAGAAGGGGCGGACTCTGAGCTTCAAAAGCAAAAGAGAAGTTGAAGCTCTAGTGCAGTTATACGGGATGATACTAGTGGCTTGTTCATCATTATGTGCTTGTGTGACTATGAAGTAGACTGCCTACAGTGGAAAACAAAAGTTCAGAATACCTAGGACGAGCTGCGATAGTGGTGGTCAACGTGACGATGGTGTGGAATACGAAGGGTGGTGGCAATGAAACTGCCAGTGGCCAGGCCGCGGCTTGCTGGTCAGTAGACTAACCGCATCATAGTGTTTTGTATACCCCACTCTTTATGGGTCGATGGCGTAGTTGGTTATCGCATCTGTCTAACATTCCAGGGGAGTGCACAGAAGGTCCTCAGTTCGAACCTGGGTCGACTCAATTTTGCTCCACTTTCTTCTCCGCTAAACAGCGTCGAGTATTCCCTATCTATATGGTGATAGGTAACCTTAGGGTATGCGTCATGTAAGAGTTAGCTGAATCACTAGCACTCTGGTGCCAGAAAGGAAGCCGAAATGCACAAGAGACACTCAGTCATCCCTCAGTCTTAAGAGCGAATTTCATTCGCCGCCTCGGTCGTTACGACATGCGGTTGCTCGTCAGACTAGTCGCTTGCGCGAAGACTCATAGTCAGAACAGGAAGCACATTCTAAAAACTACAGATATGCCATTGACAAAGCCAGGTCGTGATTGAATACAATTTGCGTTGAGTCTTCATCCAGGAAAGCAGTAGTGACTATGCAGCACGCGCGACGTCGAACGCGCCATCCGATCCCAAAGGAGAACAGTGGGAAACCTAGTAGCCGACACCGATCAAGTAATCGGCCAGGTTCTCCACGACAGGTGTTGCTTCAGGGGCCTGGATGGGCGCAGTGTACTCCGCAACAAGGACAGCCTGCTTTGTCTTGACGAGCACGCATCCATCACCCTAACAGAGGGGGGAAAACACATCCAGCCATCAGCATCGATGCAAGAGCATGGCCCGGACGCTATGACGCACCCCCTTCTTGCCGTACACACTTCGGTCGTTTGCCGAGAGAGTGAAGAACTTCTGGCCCGCTAGACGGATACCGTGCGCCTGTGTGTTCGCAGGGTCGTTGAACGCGCTCACAATCGTCTTCTGCTCGTCAGCGGAGAGCTGAAGGAGAGTAAATGTGTGGTCCGATAGATGGGCGGAGCGGAGGTCAGACGGTGGCCATTACCAAGACGAGACCCGAACGCACCGTATACCCTGGCGAAGAGGCCCAAACACCACCCGCGAGACCGACAATGGCAGCCTTGCTGATCTTGCCAGTTCCGAGGAGGTTGGTGTCGACGTACGCTGTACATATCGGGCGCAAGACGCGACAGATCTGAGTAGGCTATTCGAGCGATCATAGACGAAGCGCGTCATTCACCTTGCCAAGACATGGTTTCAGCGTAAATATGAGGAGGAGACGCAGACGGGGGCGGAGAGGTTGTAAGGAGATGAGGGGGAAAGGTAGACGGATTGAGCACTCTATATTATGTGCGGGACGCTACTCCGCCGTAGTCGCAATCGCGCCGGAGATCGCCATCCGATAACAACCATTCTATGTCTTTCCTACTAAGTCGTCTTATTCTCGTTAACACACTCCTTGTACCGGCTTATCGGGCAATTATCGCGAGGCAGTACGGAACGTTGTGAAGGTAGTAACTATGCACATCTAGCACACAACAACACAAGATCGACGTAAGTACGCCCGCCGGTAAACTCATGCAGGCATCGCTACTACGGCGCGCTGGCATACGGCAGCGGCACGAGTAGCATGGACGTTTGAGCGGCGTCCGACGGAAAAGTAGTGAAGATGTCAAGCGTGTTCGTCGCGTTCTTGACGTCTTGCAAACCGCAAGTCTTAACGAAGTCCCCCGCGACCGCGGCACGCTTCTTGATGTACGCTGCAAATGACGCGAGAGGACACGAAGACCCGGGGCCCGACGCGCACCCGGGCACAGGAACAACCGCGTTGTTGATCTGTCCATCGTGTGAGCGGTGCCGACGCCAGGATGTAATGAGGTGCCGCCTGTGCACTCACCCTGATGCGGACGTACTTCTGCGCGTTCACGCTGGCACCGGGTCCCAGGATGGGCTGGTTCGCGATGTGCTTCACGCTTGTCGGCGGGTCGTGCTCGTCACATGACAGGCGTTCTAGCGCGACATACCCGCGAAAAGAGACGAGGTATGACGAGCGGAAGGTGCGACGTCGGTTCGGACTCTTTGCGGACAACGGGTAGACACCGGAGAGCTCTGACGTGTTCCAAAGGCCAAGGGCTGAGACAGCGGGTGGCAGATTGTTGTCATGCTGTGGGGGTAACGCGATAGATCAACAGCGCGATCGCCAATACGACGGGGATCGGACTGACCGTGAAGCTCATGATCAGTGGAGGTGGCACGAAGTTGCTGCCACTGCTCTCGGTAGCATCATTAGGGCCAGTGACGAACAGTTCGGTTATAGCTTTGACCCATGGATAGCCCGTAGTAGCTGAGAAAGGGTTACCAGGACCTGAACTTCAGATTCGTTGGCATCAGTGTGAAAGCAGACTACGCAGCTCAACCCGATCTACCCATAGTAATAGTTCAGGTCATGGGCGTATTCATAGTCGAGCCACTCGGATTCTGTCAGCGACGTGAGGTCAGAAGTGACGGTTCAGTATCATTATACAGCCGTGCACTAGCCTGTGAAGATGTCGCAGAAACGCGTGTCTCCGTTCACCTCGGCCTGGAACCCGCATAGATCTTGCATGACACCGATATCGGTCGCATTCAATGTCAGTCCGTCCAGGTATTTGTTCAGCCTATTCGCGATCGTGCTCTGGTACGTCCCGCGGAACGTCGTCGCCTTGAACGAAGTGTCTCCACTGCTGTAAGCGGGGCATCCTGCCGAGGGCGTGAGCGAATCCGCGAAAGTGTAGTTGACCGAGTCGGGCATCGTGATGACATGGCCACGGTTCTCGCCTGGAGCGGATATGTAGTTCCCTTGAGAAAGGTATCCCAGGGTAAAGTAGGTAGCAGTATCCACAACTCGCTGTTGACCGGCAGACCTTTGGATGTACAGTGGTTAGAACGACATCTCCCAGGGTTTTGCTTTATGTACAACTGACCAGACTGTGAAATTGTCCCCACCCCTGGTGAGCCGGTAGCGTTTTCTCAGTTCCACCCCGAGGTCGAAAGCTTCCCTTGATCCGGTAGATGATAAGAAGAGTGGATCATGGGGGATGTCGTCAATGGGCGGGGTCCAAGACGGTAGGAAAGACAAAGGCCCCTTCGCATTGTACGTCGCGTTCTGCAGCTTGGCAAACAACGACTGCCATCCCGCGAACGAGCCTGGCTCGGGAAAACGCCTGGAAGAAATCCATCAGCAGGGCATAAGGAGTAAGATTCGCATAAGGACACTCACGAGCCATGGCGCACTAGATACGCTGCCTGATCGACGCTACACTGCACAGGAGTTGTCGAAAGAATGCCGAATTGCGCAGGCGCGTCGAAGTAAGGTGATGCAGGGCCAGAGTGGTGCAATGGGTTGAATCCCGCTAGGGCTCCGCTCACGCCCGCAAACAGCGCCCAGGGAGCCAGACTGAGGAGCGCTGCGATGGTCATAGTAAGTGGTCAGTAGACTCGTGGATGCCTTGGTAGCGCAGACACAGGCACGGAAACTTATATGGCCGTCGGGAAGCATGCGGACAGCCGGTCAGGTACTTGGCATGGAGAATTGGACTACAGACGGTAGGCGGGGATGCACGTTCGTGATTAGGATTCGCTTGGGAGAGTACGTACCGATCCGGGCACGCGACAACAAGGGCTGGCAAATCCGGGCCGCGTCCGGTGTGTCGGATGGATGATGCAGCAAGGTCCCTCATGTCCCGTATACGTACCTGTGCACTACCTACAACGCTTGTTCCTGCTCATGGAGCCCTCAACGCCGAGACGCGACATTACAGTCAAGACTGAGTGGCCTCAGAAGTGGAGTCAGCACGACCTTCATAGATCAAAGATGTAACAAATCCGCTCACCGCTTGAAGTAGACTGGTGAGACAATTATAAGATATCGAGAGGACTCAGAGTACAATTATCTGAATATAGATATGCGCAGATCCGTATAGTACATATGTGTGAGGGTGTTCGACAGCGCGAAAGCGGAATGAAGAGTCTAATCCGGTAGTTCCCATCCGTATAGTTTACCTGTATCTTCACCATGGTAAAGTGATTCACTGACAGGACGCTTAGTGAGCTTTCAGTTGGAGACACACGTAGTCAGCGTACCCGACAAACTTCAGAGCTGTAACGCAGGGTATCGAGCTCCTGAAGCGACTCTCGGATTTGACTTTGAGCGTCTTGAGCGTAACGAACTCCCATTGCGCCTTCTCGCCTTCTGGGGTGTTGTTGGCGTTCCAGGTACGTAGCGTGATAGTGCCGTCAGGGGCTCCGGTGGCGATTAGTTCTGTATGAGAGTAGTCGCGTTCAAGGAAAGCGATGGACGTGACGGGAGGATACAACGGCGATGGGGCAGCCTCCGTGAGGTCGAGTGAAACAATGGGTCGAGCGTTGATCGTATGTAGCCATAGTCGGTCTCGTGAACAGGTCGCGATGTAGCCCTAGAACAACGTCAGGCGGGACCACCGGGGTGATCGCTGGAGTAGGCTTACCGTGCTTTCGTAGATGGACACGAGGTGAATCTCTGCAGATGGGCCAGAGCCGTGCCATATTGAGCACGTGTATACACCTCGATTGAGGTCCCATATCGCTGCGCTACCGTCCTTCGAGCCACTGACGATGAGCGACCATGCTCTTGACGCTGCGATACAATTGACACGTGCAGTGTGTCCGCGCATGAGGTGTGTGAGCTGGAGAGACACCGGCTGGTCACGACTTCGGTCGTTTCGTATGACGCGCCATAAGCGCACGGTGTTATCTGTGGATCCAGTGACGAGTGTACCTGCATCTGCGAAGGTGGCACAGGAGCAGAACGCCGACTCGACTACTTGCGAGACCTACAACATGTGGTATGAGAGCCACTCGCGGTATGAGCTCGTAGTACTCACTTTCCGATCAACCATAACTTTCAGCGAACCGGTGGATGCGGGTCCGCCTTCCCAGACGATCCCCTCATGTGGCCTTGAAGGAACGCATATCATACCTTCTGGACACGGAATGACCTGCTGGCCGATCAGATCGAGCACCAACTCTCGCACGGGCTGCTCGGAACCAAGATCTATAGAGGTTCTCTGATGAGCTGCCGCTCGAACTGCATTTATGGACACGAACCTTTCAGAGGTCTGGAACCCTGTGTCAAGAGGTGGTAGTCTTCCGCAATTCCATAGATGATACCAAGTGGGAGTGCCGAGTTGCCGTGCATGTGGCGAGA